CAATTTGAGGTAAGATTATTTCTAATATTTGGGGCTCGATTTGTTTTTTTATACGAACATCGTTATAGGGTCCTAGTCTCAGGCTATAGTTGGACAATCCTAGTCTCGGGCTATAGTTGGACAATCCTACTCCTAGTCCTAGTGCTAGGCTGTAGCTAGACAGTCTTAGGCTATAGTTGGACAGCTCCTAGAAAGAGATTCTAGACTAGATCTAAATTGCTCTTAGTTGGCTTTGGTATCCTCCCTTCAGCAACCCTCTTGGTACCGCTCTGCTAGAACCACATTGAGTTCTACGTAAAACAGATACCACGTGGATAGGACTCATGACTATGACTCACTTACCATACCATAATCTATCTACAGTGAGACCGAACCTGTAGATAATATCCCTTCAAAACTTCTGGATTTACACATACCTTTGAAGATAATCAACACTTGTACACATGTAAGTTGCACTTTTTACTATTTAGGCAAATCTTATATAAATCACTTGATACTGATTTACGTTCGGTAAGTGCCCCTTAAATAAAATTCTAGAATTTTACCCTGAGGTTGCCCTAACTATAACTTTCACCTTTCTGTGTTTAATTTGCCTGATGGTAAAGTGTAACCCATACTGTATGTTTCTTATCACTCACAAGTGTCACAGCCTCCTACACTTAACAAGCCATGAAGTTAAAAAGGCAACACCGCAATCTTACCGCCAAGTGGTGCTGGTGCTGTTTGTTAGTTTGTTTTTATAAGTATATATTTTTTATTTTGTTAATAATAATGACAAAAAATGCATCATTTATTATACTAAAGGGTCAAAAACAGTAATTCAATGAATAATATAACTATATGTGTAAATAAGAACAGTAAATAATTGATTTAAATGAATATATATCTAGATTCTAAAGTGTTATAAGCCTATGTTTCAGTATGTCTTTTGAAAATCTAACTTTTTCTTTCTTCGGAATTTTTTCAGAAGGCAGGTTTTTTCAAATACTTGAGCTGATTTCCGAAAATAAGAGGTACTTTTAAGAGTTGGACGTTTTAGTTTGAACTCTCGAATTACTCCTTTATTCTTGTTTGTTTCAAATCTAATTATTTCGGTTTCTTCAAAATGTTCACAACACACCACCACCACAGAATTTTTCGTTATGGTATAATCTCGCCAATCTCGGGTACAATTATCTTGGTGTATTGCATTCATCCACAACTTCTGCATTTCAGATTTTTTTTGGAAATAAATGTTTGCATTTCTTCAGGTTTTAAGGAACTCCTAGTTCGATTTGCACCCAGGAACACAGTAGTTTCATGGCATCTGGAAAAAAGGTTAAATTTCTTAGGTAATATATCGAGGCCTATGCTCTTGCATAGGGTGACCATACGTACAGCATTTCGCTGTATTGTACAGCATTTTCAAAGTCTGTCCAGCATTTGATTTTGTACAGCAAACGTACAGCGATTCAAATCCGATCATAATAGACCGATCTCCTATTACCTGGACTGCGCGCGTCGCTTGTAGGCTGCAGGTGAGCGTCCAATGAAAAGCAAGTTTGGTACAGGTTTGCGTCATATTCTTATTCAGGGGCCAGTTCAGAGTGAATCGTTCCTTCTTTCTTTGTAACGTGTAATTCGACAAAGAGCAAACTAATACTTTTACATATTACTTGAACTCACCGCAGTGTCGTTTAAGGTTTTGTCAGATTATACTTGACATATTCCTTTGCAATTTCATTGTGTGATGTTGCCGGGTGAAACATTTATCAAAATAAAAGTGTAAACGATGTTAACATAAACTTTTCAAGCGCTTCTTTTGTCTGATTCAAGGCGTTGTGAAACACTTGACACTATATCACTTCTTTAATGTTATAATGTTCGATTTGTATTATCTTTATTTGTTCTGCAACAATACAATCTGGCTACACTGAACCTACGAGTTGCGCGCGCATGTCATCTTTTATTACTTTCTAACTTGTATTTATTACAATTAAGCTCTCTTTCTCTATTTATGCGAGACAGGTCTATTAAGTTTTTCTTTAAAAAAAATTACGAAAAATTGTCCGTCAATAACTAACGACATTTCTACATTTGCGACTTACGTCATTTACGCCATTATCTCCCAGAGTATTCTTTTTAAAGTTAACTACCTTTTTTATCTCTCTCTATTCCACGCTGCTGAGAAGAAGACACAGCTTAATAGGTCTGTTTCTGCAGCAATCACAAACCAGTCAGCGTGAATTTCATTGGTTGAAAATAGTCAAAAAGTTAGAAACAGTCAGAAAACAAGTTTCAACCCGAGGTTCCTAAAGTTAATAAGTTGTCTGGTAATGGTAAGCAGATTACGTCATCAGGAAGATCTAATGGAGCTGGAGATGACGTCATAAAAGTTATCAGCCAGCCTACCTCTTTCAAACAACCTTGGTTTTAACCATTGAGGTTTTCCAAAGATGTTTTCAAATAAATGAAGTTCACTCTGACTAGTTTGTGATTTCTGTGCGAACAGACCTATTATGTTAGGTATGTCTTTCATTTTATTTATTTTTTTGCTAAGTGGTACAAAAACGGGCTATAAAGTCGACAAAATTTGCATTTAGTGCTTTCTCCACTCACCTGTCCCAAAATTTTAGATGTGTACAGCATTCATACAAAAAAAATATGGTCACCCTACTCTTGCACAATATTAATATTGTTTTTATTGTTTTAACCTTACATTACCTTCATTTTTGCTGCTGTACCCATTTGCTGAAAATTTGCAATCAAAGCACAAAGGAACAGGTATCAACTAAATATGGGCAATATATCGGTGTGCTTCTATCCATTTTTTCGTCAATAATGCCCACAAAAATACTAAACTGCAACAATATACAATGAACGCAATACACAGAAAAAATAACCTCGATAACAAAATAGCACCATACGCGACGTTGCCGTCATTTCCAACTTCATGGCTTGTAAGTGTAGGGGGCTGTGCAAGTGTAAATACCAAAAGGTTTTTAGTCATGTTTACTTAAAATTCATATTTATATATGCATTATTTACATTCATTCTTTTGATAATCAAATATTTATAAATTGGTACAAGCCATAATGTATACACATTTTTAACAACGTCCTGGCTATCCCTATTCATTATTGTTATTATTTTTTTAATAAAGAAGCCAGATACATTATTGTACCTAATTGGTTGTTTTATTGATAAGTTCTCCAATTGCACAGGTTTTGTTTAAACATCATTAGGTTATCTTCCTAGTTAAGTCACAATTAACTTGGTGGCGCCCAAAGGTAAGATGTATACAAGGAACCCATAGACCCATGGCCGCCGAACTGATGCTGACTAGCCGTATGCAGTATAATTAGGCAATTGCCAAAATAAGTACGTTATATCTTTCCTCCAGTTCTTCACGAAGTGAATCGATTTGCTCTCGAAAAGTTGTGCATTTGTTCTCATTTTCAGATTCAATTTGTAGTATTTTTTCACTAAGCTCTCTGTTGTTTTGGAAAACTTGTTCTATGGTTTGACCATCCTGGTTGATTTTTGTGCAACAAGTTTTACACATGTATATGGTTTTTTTTAAGAAATAAGTGCAATAAATCTGACTTCTGTTGTACTCCACTGCACAGTTTCTAGATGTAATAGTTTTGCAAACATCGAAAATTGCACCAAAAAGCTCTGCGCTCATATTAGGCTCCTTGAGTACCGTACCATGGTTGATTGCATTCAGAGCCCAGATACATTTTTTCAGGTGAGCAATTAACTTTTGCCATACCCTGATTTGTTTTCGTAAAAATAACCGGTCACTGCTAAAACACTCGATATGCAAATTGATTGCCTTCTTATCTGAGATAAAAAGTGATAATATAAACAAACAAGGAATGTGTATGAGAATTTTATTGTAAAAAGGATATTTATAATTTCGGCAATCAATTTTCAATTTTCTCAATTGTTCAGCCTTCCTGCAGATCTTAGTGAGAGGTCCTTTTTCACAGTTATGGAACAAAACTGATCGCACATTTTAACACGAAACCAAACTATATTGTCCCATTCAATTGTCGCAAAAAATTTAATAAAATCGGAGCGATTCGAACACACGTCTATTTCACATAAAAACAACATTAAAAATCTCCTAAGGGTACACCTTCATATCTAGCCTCACTCTAGGTTACGTTCCTGGAGTGAGGCTGGCGTGACATTCATACCAAAGGCAGGAATCGGCCAGACGATGAACCAAAATCCTAACGACCCATTAAATTCATGGAGAAAGCAGTAGACTAATATATCAGAAGCGAAACTCTTATAGTAGCAGAACGCTCAATCAAGACAATATGCTTACCAAGTAGGAAAATCGCTAACAAGTGCACATGTCTAGTAACAGATATAGAAAAGGCACTTGAGGCAAAAAAATCACTCTTGCAGCTTTTATAGATATAGAGGGTGCCTTTAATAACACCTCACACCGATGTATCAAAAAAGCTCTTGAGGATAAAGGGGTAGAAGCTCCCATTGTAGTATGGACAGAAGCCATGCTGGAACATCGCTGTGTCGGCAGATTTGACCGACGAAACAGTAACTGTCACCTCTCCTGTGGACACTGATACTACTGGTAGACAGCATCCTTACCAGACAAACTAACGTCGGAATAACTGTCCTAGGTGACGCTACGCGGTAATAATCAGAAGCAAACATCAAGGCATCATAACAGGCCGAATGCAAAAGGCTAACACCCCAAGAGGTCGGAATTTTACCATCCAGAAAGCTAGTCTCCTTTGAAAGAAGCCTACAAATCTTGGTCACCAACTAGAAGCAGAGCTACGCACAAAATATCTAGAAAAGAAGCAGTGCTTGAGCGGCTGGAACGCAAGCAGTAACGACTGCTAATGCAATCTACAAATCTGCAAGCGAACCCCTAATTTCAAGAAAATGGTTTAGCAGTTTCATAGGTATTTGGCCTTTTTTCCTTGTAGCATTAAGAAACTTACAATGTACTTACATTTATGTATGTAATAGTTACCTACCTTGAATATTTTAAGGTAATACTCAATCCCTTTGGCGTTGACATTATTAGCAGTAGCATTGGGTAATATTCTGCTCCAGGATATGGACATTCGATAATGACTGACACCGAGTTCCCGAAGCAAGGCTACATCGTCCTGCCATTTGTGGTAGCTGTCGCAAGCTACATCTGCCGAGTAGTTTTTTTAATTTTTTTCTGGATAGGTGTGAGTGTACCAGTCCCAGAGGTTTTCCTGAAACAATACGACATCTATATCCAAAATTATGACAAAACAAATACATAATTTCAAAAATCTTTTCTTACCCCTTTTCTATCCTCATTCCATCCACCTTCGATTTGATAAGAGGCTGTTGCTGCTCCAAGTTTAAAGTTTGAAGGGAAAAAGCGGTTGTTATAGGTGAAATTTGACGAAAGCCCGAAGACACTACCAGAATAATAAGCATAAGTTTTTACAAGGGTTATCAAAAGTAAATAATTACCTTCCAATTATTATCAAAATACAAACATTTATTGAATTTAACATTTTGCTGCTTCCACAAAAGTTACACAATTCAAGTAGATAACTAATTGATTTGGGTATTATTATCATTTAGATGTAGGATGTAGGTACTTGAAAATCCTACTAATTGTTTTATTTTTTTTCCACTTCAAATTATTGATTAGGCAATTATCCTTGATACAATTTGAAATTGTGGTTATAGGGTTAAAGCGGAAATAGGCTTATAAGGTAATTTTTATATAGGTATATACCTAGCTACATTTTATCTTGAATCTTTTGATAATACTATATCAACATATTGAATCACCTAAACTGTACCCATTCATAAAACTGAAAATCTGATATTGAATTGTTTAGTTGTTTTGAAGCAGGCTAAAAGTAAATATGTTCAGACTTCTAGCGATTTGTTGTTGTATATTGAGGTAAGAATTATACGTACTCTAGAATTTACTTCACACACTAAATATGATTTTCAATAATGGCAGTGCATCATCTGACGATGCTATCAACAATCACAATTTTCCTGAAAATTTTTCGTTAGGCGTCGCCACAGCCGCTTTCCAAATTGAAGGAGCTTGGAATGCAGACGGAAAAGGTGAAAACTTGTGGGATTGGTGAGTAATAATAATTATAAGAACTCAATTTCTTCAACTTATTTTAATATTCATTAAGGTTCATGCACAAGTATCCAGAAAAAATCGAAGGTCAAGCCAATGGCGATGTTGCTTGTGATTCATATTATCAATGGCAAGAAGATGTTAAACTCTTAAGAGATTTGGGTGTCAATCATTATCGATTATCTATTTCATGGACTAGAATTTTGCCTGATGGTCTTGCCAATAATTTCACTCTTAATCAGAAAGGTGTAAATTATTATAGAACTATATTCAAGGTAAGCAAAATTAGATCAAAATCAACTCATCAATAATTATGTTGGTATGAAATTTTAGATTCTTCTCGATGCAGGTATTACTCCCTATGTTACTCTGTACCATTGGGATTTACCTTTACCTCTTCACCAGTTGGGTGGGTGGGTAAATCCGATTATTGCCGATCATTTTGCTGCCTATGCTAGAGTATGTTTTCAACAATTTGGAGATCTTGTCAAAAATTGGATTACCATTAATGAACCACAGACTTACTGCTCGTTAGGGTAGGAATAATTTAATGATTACATATGTATACCTAATATAAGTCAATTCATGATTTTCAGATATTTAACTGGTGAACATGCTCCTGGATACATTCTACCTGCAGAAGCTATATACAAGTGTGCCTACACCACTGTGATGGCTCATGCCAAGGCTTATCATATCTATCAAGATGAATTTAAGCGTACTCAAAATGGTTGGTATTAATTTTCAATAAACTTGGAGTTGTGGCTTTCCATGTCAATGACGAATATTCTGAAATAGGACTTAATCTAAAAACTTTTACAGGTCGAGTTTCAATAGTTCTCGACAGTCCTTGGTTCCAGCCACCATCGGATTCAGACGAAGACCAACTGGCAAGTCAAAGAGCATTTGATTTTACTGTAAGTTTGTCATGCAAAATTTTAAATCCTATAATATTCAGGCTCGAAATGTATATCGACTTTAGTTGGGTTTGTACGCTAATCCTATCTACGTTGGCAACTGGCCGGAACAAGTGATCAGTATTGTAGATTACAGAAGTGAAATGGAAGGCTATCCGTCCTCAAGGTTACCGAAATTTACTGATGAAGAAATCGCTTATATAAAGGGCACCTATGATTTCTTTTGTCTTAACTCGTAAGAAGATTCTCTTAGCAAAAAACTTCATATTATAATAACGTTTTTCTTTAGCTATTCTACTAATTTCGCGTATCACCAAAACAATAAAGATGAACGCATCGATCCAGATAATGTAAGTTTTCTCTCAGATCAAGGTAAGCAGTTTTAGTATGATTTTTACATCCATAAAAACCAAATTCAATATTTTTTGTAGGTGTTGGTTTTTACGTGGATCCTAAATGGCCCTCTGAAGTGGATTGGGTCAACTTAGTACCATCTGGATTTAGAAAGCTGATCAAATACGTTCATGACACATATAACCAACCGGAAATTTTCATTACCGAAAATGGATGGGCTCAAAATAGTACCACTAGTGGCACAGAGGATCCAGCTAGGATTACTTATATCAAGGTATCAGTTATATTTACTGAATTAATAACTATAAAGTCGGATTAATGGATTTCCTTCCCATAGCAATACCTCAGTGCAGCTTTGGATGCAATTTACATTGACGGTGCTAATGTTACTGGATACACTGTTTGGAGTCTAATGGATAATTTGGAATGGGATCATGGATATCAGTACGTCAAGTTAATATTTATTTGATAAAATTCTAACAAAATGTTTCAGGATTAAAATGGGATTGGTTCAAGTAGATTTTGAATCTGTTGATAGAACCAGGACCCCAAAAGCGTCATACACCTGGTACCAGAACATTATCAAAAATCGATGTTTGGCTGATAACGTTAATGATTGTACTTCCTAAATGAAATCGAATAATTCAGCGATAAATTGATTATCAGCGAGAGTTGTTATCTTGAAAATAATGAATAATTTATTTATATAGAATCTGTACATGACAATTAAATTTTTCAAGAGGCAAGGAGTTGGAGAAATTTGTTTGTAGATATAGGCATTATTTATTTTAATAAATTGAAAATTCCAGTTGAAATAGCTATTTACCTAACAAGTGCGGAAAATGAATATTTCCGCACGCGGCTGCCGTTCACCGAACGACGCGTAGCGGAGTTCGGTGATGCAGCCGAGTGCGGAGAAATATTTTCCGCAAGTGTTAGGTACAATATTTTTCCTACATGCGTAAAAATGTAAAATTTTTCTTTTTTTTTTGACATATCAGTGCGGAAAAACTTTTTCCGCACTGATATGTCAAAAAAAAAAGTTTTACCGCATCGTGCGGAAAAACTTATTTTCCGCACGCATATCAGTGCGGAAAATCGACTTTTCCGCATGGCTGTAGGAAAAATGTTTTTTCAAAAGATGCTTGACTCAAATTGCGCGCTTCAAGCAAGCACATCTGACTAGGTAACGAATGAAGAAAAATGAAAATCAGAATGCAGATAAATCAATTATTCGTTTAGATACAATATTATTAAAAAGTCGTATGAGATTATTAAAAGCATCACTTTTTTTAATCAGATATAACAAGCATGTTAACTCGTGAGGAATTTGTTTTATTTTTCAATTAATCAGCAGTAGAATGCCACTTTAGGTTCACAATTCAGCAAAATTAAAGATTGTTCAGAATTGGTTTATGGAACTGTCTTCGAACGCACCTTACTGTGTTATCGAACGCACTTATTGAAACGTTTCCAACTACATTTTTGAACGCAACATGATTGGACAATTGACAAAAAAAAAACAGTTTTTATTATCACGGTTCATGAGGATGGTTTTGTCTTGGCAACAAACAATTGCTCATTTTTATTAATACCACAAAACATCCCCCCTTAGAAATGTAAGTCTTATGAGAGACGTCAGTCTAGTCGTTTCAGCTTTGCCCTCCAATCACTAGAGGCGCTTCAATCAACCTATTAAAGTTTTCTTTTTCCTGCCGGACCGTGCGCCAAGATTTGAAGTTTATTTTGTCATTTCCAGTCGTCAAAATTTAAATTTTGAACTTCTCCCAACATTTAGAATTATCAATTACCTATCAATTATCAATAATTATTATCTCAAAATGTCTTCTCCCAGTTTGTTAATTGAAAAGCATCAGAAATGCTGTGTTCCGGGGTGCGGCGACAAATACAGCAGCTATTTCCGGTTTCCAAAAGATGCCGAAAAAATGAAACAATGGCTAGAAAAAGTTCGCAATCCTTTACTAAATAGCCTCAGTGTCGAGAAGGCTTATAATAATTATAGAGCGTGAACAAGACATTTTCTTCGAGAATTTATTGTTGGCGATCCAAAAGCCAGACGAGGACTCACATGGAATGCTGCGCTTTTGCTGTATCTCCCTGAAGGTAAGTTAATACTAGATATATGTGAGAAAGACGTAGGTACTTACATTTTTACTTACTCCTCCCCATAGTTCTGATTAACGACAACGTGTTAGAATTCGGGTTTAAAGGAGCATCGGTCAGAAACATTAAAATTAATTTTAATTTTAGCCCCAATTATCAAAAAACAGTGAGGAGTCGTTAATTGATAAACCACAATCACCAAAATGGCAAAAAGTGGAGATCGACACAGTTGAAACTCGTCGAAGAGTCCTAAGACGCCTTCAGAAATTAGTTTCGCAACTATGATTGACATAGGTAGGTAAACATAATAACTCTGTTCCAACACGTCAAAAAATCGTCCCATGAACGGTTTCGAAACCACTCAGTATAACAATTTTAGTTTCTGCGCAGAATCGTGACGGTACATTGTACGGTTTTCTGCTGTGTTGGAACAAAGCTAATATTATTCATTTCTTTTTTTTAAATGTTTATTCCTTTATCAGGAGACACAATAATTAAAATATTCCTGGTTACATACAGGTACACCATATTCTACAATGCATGTATCCAAACTTTTTTGGTAGAATCATTGGTAACGAAATTTCTGTTTTAGATCAACCAGGCCCTTCATGTCGTCAATTTTTATCTACTGAAACTTCTGCAATTCGGGCAGACATTGCTACACCAAGTGGAACCATCACATCTGCAAACATGAAAAAGTCACCAACCAACTTTGTCTCTTAAAACTTTTATTGGTAGGTACCTAAGTGTTATTGCTTAATGAATAACCACCCAGTTGGGAGTAGGTGAATTTTAAAACATCCTAACTCAAGTAGGACTACTACTATAGAAGACTACTAATTACTAAAACTTGCAGTCGAATGCTAGAAAAATTAGAAGCTAAATGTGCGAAAAGCTCGTCTCCAATCTTGATCTATTTTTTTTTTTTTGCAGGTCATGAGAGACGATGCCAAATTTTAAAGAACATTAACGTCACTAGGCAAAAAATTCCTATCCCCAAGGGAAAAATATCTTTATTCCAAAGTTATAGAATCCAGCAATAAGTTAAGAAGAATCAGTAGAAGGTTGTCGTCATTTAAATCCAAAGTTTCTACTGCTGAATAACTTGCATCATAAACCAAATTTCAAAGGCTCGTAGACCACGTCAATCCATTGATATACAGCTTTATTTTAAGCCAAGTCCGTACTCAAAACCAAAAGCCTAAAGCTAGACGATTTACATTGGACGAGAAGTTGTTGGCGTTGTCTTTGCTTAAAGCTAGTGGTAAAGGGTATAGACTATTATCAAAAATATTTATTCTATCATCCAGGCGAAATCATTTTCTTGAATGAGCTTTATATTATGTATAACTACATAAACTTTCTACCTAACACATGCGGAAAGTGTATTTTCTGGACTTAAAGGCTTGTTTGAACTCTGCTTTTTGTTGTCATTCGTGCAACTTCCATCACGTGCAGAAACACTTTCCTCACTTGTTAGGTTAACAACGATTTTGGATTGTGAGAAAAGGACCTCTTTTGTCATTTTATTTACGATTTAAGTTTTTCATCAAACTATTGTTAAATGTACGTCATTACTTCTTGTAACTGTCCTTATTATCTTTAACTTAACTAGCATTACCTACCTATGTATGTATACGTTCGGCTCGCAAACCTTTTGCTTCAGCACAAAAAAGTAAAGCTTCTACTCCTAATACAACAATATACTATTATTAAATTTCAACTTAGAATTTAAAAAAATATATATAATTATAGTCCTATAAATTTTTGAATTTGAATTCTACAAACCCTTTCCTTTAAAATTACAGTTATAGATATTTTTTTGCGAATTTTTGCGATTTTTCTTATTTTTAGAAGAAACCATTCCTATTCCTAATAGCATTTTATGCCAACATTGAGTAACTTGCGGCAAGAATCAAAAATCTTTAATGGCGCATTCGCCAATAAATCCAGAATTACAAAAGCTTACCCCCCCAGTCACTAGAGGCGCTGAAAACTTATAGACAGGTTCTCAACACGGCACTTACCTTTCTAAGGGGGGATGTTTTGTGATTAATACGCATTTTTTTTGAATATATTTTATATCGTTACACATTCATTCATGCTCGTAATTGAATCCTGCTATCCTCTTCGAACAAATTGAAGTTGAAGTTAATACCACCAAGTCAGTCAATTCAGCATTAGGATTCGTCCCTACGAAAATTCTTAGAATTTTCGAGGACTTCCTCCATTTTGGTCCTTCGATAACCGGATCTGGTGATCCAACATCCAATAAGAAGTCAGGTATTGACAGCAAGCAGAATTCCATGGCCAGGCAGGCAGAACTCCATGGCCAGGCAGGCAGAAGCTAAACAGAATAACAAATAGACGAATGGCAAGGCAGCTATAGTCATCCAATTTGGGTATAACATTATTTAAAAAAAAAAGCATTTCAATAGAGCAAACTAACATCAGACAACATACAGAGCAGTGGTGAGTCGTCAGTTTCATTATATTCAAGATTTGCTCGTTTATTCATGCACGCTTACGCTCATTTGTGAATTAGTAAATTATTTCATCTCATTTTTCAGGTGATATTTGGCAGTGGAACACTAGTATTCTCATAAGTACCTACATTTGTTTATTATATTGTCGAGCAAGAAGCTAAGTTGAAAGGATTAATATCACAGCGAGGAATATTGAAAGGTCAATTGACTCGTTTTGAGACATTTCTAAAATCAAGTAATCCTGATGATAGGGTTGAACTCAGTGAACGTTTGACTAAATGCTATTCCCTATCTGACAATTTTGATGCCATACAGACCGAAATAGAACTAATTGATGCTACTCAATCTGCGGAAAGGGTAACATTTGAAAATCATTATTTCAAGCTCATAGCACAAGCGAAAAAAGTTTTAAATCCTTCAATCGGTCAACCTTCGACACTTCCAAACCTTCCACATTCAAACATTGGTAATAATTCACAAAGTGATGAACATATTAATATAAAACTACCCACCATTGAACTTCCAATATTTACAGGGGAAAATATTCTGATTGGCTGCCATTTTTCGAGACATTCCAGGTCTTGATTCATAGTCACAAAAAGTTAAGCAAAATACAAAAATTTCATTACTTACAATCTTCATTGAAAAATGAGGCAAGAGAGGTTATTAGTTCACTTGAATTAACAGAGAATAATTACGATAGTGCTTTAGATCTCCTGCGTGAAAGATACGAAAATCAAAGACTCATCATAAATAGCCACATCAGAAATATTGTTGATATACAATCTCTCGCCAAAGAATCATACACAGCATTGCGAAAACTGATTGACAGTGTTCAGAAGGATTTAAAAGCATTAAATTCTCTCAAAGAACCAATAGATGCTTGGGATACCTTGTTGATTTTCATTCTTAGTGCAAAATTGGACAATGTGACAAGGCGTGAGTGGGAAATTTATAGCTTGAAAGAAAACATTACAAAGTTTCAGGATTTTATCCAATTTTTGAAAAACAAATGTCAAATTTTGGAGACAATGCAGTCTACTAAAGTTGACAATAAAAACCTTACACTATCTCAGTCACATCATAATCAAAACGACCGTTTTGGTAGGTCAAATAGCAAAGTGCATGCCCATGTAGCTTATTCAAACTCATGTCCATTTTGTAATCAAATCCATAAGTTTTTTCAATGCAGAAAATTCCCAAA